CCTATTACACTAGTCAAAGGTACAATATGATTGATGGAGATGTAGCAATCAACTCACCAGAGGTGGAAAAGGCAATAGAACATGCACAGCCAAACGTACAAATTTGGCACTGAGAGCTTCAAAATCCTTTCAATTGCATACAATAAGTTTGCTTTCAGAGGATGCTGTGAATTTTGTACAATTGGATTGATATACTACAAAAATAGCAACAACAAAAAACAAAAAACAAAATGTCAAGATAACGTCTGGGATAGGAAAGCAGGGGGAAAAGATGAAATTTAATAGATAAAAGGAACAGACATTGGTGTAAACCACTCAAACAGCAAGAATTCAGAAATATATGACCCCCAACCAAGATCCCAAAACAAGACTGCTAACCTCACATAACCATAACCTCACATAACCAAAGCCAGCAGTGGAATTCACATCTGAGTTTAAAATGAATGACCATCTGAATAATAGGGTGGTCTTTCTATTTTACATCTGAATTTTACATTTCAGTAAGTGGTCTTTCGTTCTAGCTAAGAGTTTCCTAATCTATAAGTCTAAATGCAGCAGAAGATTGTTAAAAATAAAATTCTAACAAGGATCAATCTCACATCTTGTATTATTCACAAATACTTCTTCAGATGATTAAACTTGAGGAAATCTTTAACACATTACTACCAATAAGATTCCAGTAACACCACTAATCTCAGCTATTAAACAATTTTAGAATACAGATAATGTATAAGAAATTAATTAGTGAAAAAATACATGTAATTGATTAATACGAAGTATAGTATATCACATAATCATATAGCTGGGATGGTATGGTTGTAAAATCGTATAAATTGCTAAAAAAAAAAAAAAAAAAAAAAACAGAAAAAAAATCGGAAACAATCAAAATCATGAACAATCGGAAAAAAAATCGAGATTAGCTTGAGTAAGTATAAATTTACCTTCAACTTAGCTTGAGAGTAGCTAGAGAGAGATTGAAAGAAGGTGCTGAGCTTGGAGATTGGAAGAAAGAACTGGAAGAAAGAACTGGAAGAAAGAAGCTAAGAACGAAAGAAGAAAGAAAGATGGGAAAAAAAAAAAACTTATATATGACGGCTGAGAATCAAGGAAGAGAAGGAAGCTAGGGTTTTTTTCTTATTTTGGGAGGGAAATTCTAACTCAAAATATCTAAATTCTAAATCTAAAATTTGTTTTTCCTTTTGGTTTTTGGAGGGAAATTTCCCACCATTCATATTTTGAAGAAATTGTCAACCAAAAAATAAAATCAATTTTCCACTTTGTAATAATCAAAATTTTTAATTTTTGTTTAACAACATTAAACAAACTTTTATACAATTGATTAATTACATGGTTTCAAAAAAAAACTAATTACATTTCTCGAATCCCGATAAAACGATATACACCTACATAATATCAGTTTTTAAATTTTTATAAATTTTTTTAACACACACATTAAAATATTAAGTTCTTTAGATTATAAAATGTGAATCAGTTAGCGTGTAAATGTCTAGCGTTGCAATTAATAAAAAAATCGAAGACCGTTTAATAATATAATGACGTCATATCTTAGAGAGCTAGTAATATTACGGATTTGTACGTATAAGCAATACACTTGTAATCGTGTAAACTTATAAATGATATAATTGACTAGTAGATTAGTACATAAATACAAATTACTTAATTAGAAATGTGTTATGACTACATGAGTGATTGACTAATATCGTAATATGACTATATAGTATATAAGCAATTGTCAATTTAGCATAGCTGCATAATAGAATAATAGTGTACTAGACTATCCTACTCGGTAATATACTAATACCATTTCAGTATTTGATATGTTAGACTTAAGTTAAAAGTTAGTCTTTCTTATTAACTTGTTAGTCTAATTAAATAATTACTAATTACTAATTAGTGACTTAAGCCTTAGGGGTAAACCAGTAAAGGATATAGAATCAATATTACCTTCTTCTTCATTAATGTGTTCTTTCATTATATTGTATAAATCAAACTACTTTGTAATATCTTCATATATAACTTTATGCAAATATATAATGATAAACGAGCCTTAATTATCAATCTTGTTGACTAATTAAGAATCGAATACCAAATTGCAAATTTCGATGTTACAACAACTCATCAAATCATGATTATGACACTGTTAACTAAATGATCAAATCAGAAGCAGATAATAATCTGATAGTAAAACAATAATACATTAATGCACTAAACTTTTATAATCTACTTCGTAATAAACTAGTAAGATCAGTATGGCTAAACTTGAATCATAACATGATATGTATTTATAAAAATAATGAGAATTTGCATATAATATGATGCCTCAATATGAAGTGATGAAGTCTCGGCTTGATATAAAACTTGTTAACTAGCAAAAAGTTAGAAAGTAGTACAAAATTTTTTGAAATCAAAAACAGATCTAGACTCGAACCGTAATTTAGTAAATCTGAAATAAAATCGATCTAAATAATGTTAAATCATAGAAGAACCAAACCCGTGAACGAACCGAACCAGTTATAACCGAACTAAAATAAAACTACACCAAAAAAGAACCGAACCGTTTCCAACCTGAAACTGTTTGAACCGGTATAATCACCATTTACACCGAACCATTAATAAACCGCAACCCGTTTGCACCAAACCGTTTACTACCGGGACTATTTACAACCCGTACCGTTTACAACCCGAACCGAATTTAAACCGAATTAAAAACCGTTTACACCAAACCGTTAACAAACCGCAACCCGTCTGCATCGAACCGTTTACAACCCGGACTGTTTACATCCCGGACCATTTACAACCCGAACCAAATTTAAACCGGGTTAAAAACCGTTTACACCAAACCGTTAACAAACCGCAACCCGTCTGCACCGAACCGTTTACTACCCGGACCGTTTACAACCCGAACCGAATTTAAACCGGGTTAAAGACCGTTTACACCGAACCGTTAACAAACCGCAACCCGTTTGCACCGAACCATTTACAAACCGAACCGTTTAGAACCCGAACCGAATTTAAACCGTTCAAGAATAAACCGAAACCGAACCGAATCGATAATTATTTAAACCGAACCGAAACCGACCCGTTAGACATTTAAACCGATTTCAAACCGACCCGTTCAAACCGAACCGATTTCAAACCGAACCGAAACCGAACTGTCAAACCGTTTTGACAGTGCTAGCTCTACTAGTGTAAGTGTATCTCATTTGCTAAAATTGTTGCACTCATATATATCTCTCATATCTTTTATTTCAACTATACGCCCATGAATTTTAACTGAAAGATGCTAAAGTGTATATTTTTAAGGTCATTTCTTTGCTTTTTTTATCTACCAAAAGCCTAAGCAAAGTAGCCGCACTTGGTCTACTTGTACTCTTGTATATGTATGTGATCATATACTATATATGTTTTGCATACCAAAAGACTAGTAGATTGATGATGTAGCTTAGTGGCACATTATTGGTATAGCTAATTATGTAGGTGCTTTTCACACTAATTTAAGATCGATGAATGTAAGATCGCGATATCTCTAATTACTCAAACTAATAACAAACTCTCTCCCATATGTGAAATGTGATGACTTAGGCTAGGAAATTTCATAATTTAGCAGTACAAATAACGTTAAACTATAATCATATCTGAAAATTAGATCACATCAGATTAGAAAATTTGAAACAGATCACATCAGATCAGAACATGTGAACCAAATATAGCCTTAGTAGTGGTTGTTGCACTCACATTGGCTAGGCTCACTATCACGAGTGTCACTCCTTCATGTAATGTCTCTTATTTTTTAAACACAAGTTGTAGCATGGGGGGAGGAAATTCTTTGCAGTAAAACCTTACACAACCCTTTTTTGCAGTAAAATTTAGGACATATGAAATGTTGGTAAAAAATAAAAAGCAATGGGACCCAAACCAATGGATGAATTAAACCAAGGTAAGTTAAGAAGAAGACGGTGATCGGCGTGGAGGAGGGGGCCTATATAAAGGCAGTTCAAAGTAAGAGTAGGAACTTTTATAGCAAATTGACTGTAACTTATATTTGGGTCACTTCTCTGGAAAAGGACAAACCATTTGCCTTGTTCGCCCCACATCGGCCACATGCTTCCTATTTTCCATTCTCATACACCCACCCCTTTTTTTTTTTCCTTCAATTATATCACCTTCATTAGATTAGAGATAAATTACTATTTTCTTCAATTATATCACCTTAATTAGATTAGAGATTAATTACTATTTTCTAGCTTTTTATAGCTTGATTATTTGTGTTGTGAGTTAGTGACCCATCATTTTTGTCTATCTAAATAATGGTTTTATTTGCACATGAATTGAGTCACATAAGATGGGAACATGTCTAATTGACCAAGCAGAGTATTTTCAATTTTACTATTCCAAAAGATTATTGCAATAATAATACATTAAAAATGTTAATAATTTTCTCAATTTCATAAATAAAGTTGCTCACGGATCACTATCCCTTTGAGCTTTTTTTTTTTTAATGTATTTAACGGAGAATGAAGTAAAGACAAAAAGACGAACGAGCATGATCTGATGGATGGGAGTTCAAGCTAAGCGGCTAATTTGACTGTACCAGATTATATGTATAGTAGGACATTTTGTTCAATCTAAAGTCAATCGACACCAATCGAAACAACTCATGGGCACTTCTTGTCGTAACAATCCAAAATACTAATTGATCCATTCACAAATAGAATTGAAGTTGGATCAATACGATTATTCTACAATATAAGATCGATGTTTTAACCTTATATTTACAAAGCATATAAGATATTAAAATGCAAGATAAGTAATACGACTGATTCAACACTTTTACAAAACTTTACCAATTAAACTTAGATCCCTCCCGTCGTACACTTGTATGGTAACAACCTTGATATGTGTAAGCACCACAAGAAGATTAACTAGTAAATGAATAATAGAATGGAACATAAAGAAAAAGGAGAAAAACACACCAAACATCATGATGGTATAAACAAAAACATTAATTTATTGGAATAGAACATAAATCAATAATGGTGCAATCATACAAAACTAGATTAATCAACAACCCCAAATGTTTAAACACCCAATGATACAAAAATTTATTTTAACTTTGGAGGGGTATTTGACCTTTTACAAATAAAGAGGACCAAAAACCCAAGAACATGGTTGGATGGAGTCCCAATTAATCAATAATATGCCCCTATAAAAAGGGAACTCAACCGCCCTCCAGCACTTCAGTACAAAGATCCATTATTAGGTGCCATGTTCCCATTTAATGACTACTACTACTATTCTAATTTATTTTTCTTGTGAATGTCTGTCCAATAAATCATTTTTCCCAAATATTAATCCCCTAAAAATAAAGGCATTAATAATGAAATTTTCACATGGGTTTGAGCTAAAACAAGAAAAACTAAGGAACTAATAGCTCCAAAATTAAAAAAAAAAAAAAAAAAAAAAAGCCAGTTGTATACAATAAAATACATTCAATTAAATATCCAAAAAAAAAAAGGCAAAAAAAACAATAAACCAAAAAAATTAAAAATTAATTAATTAAAAAAAGAGGGTTTGCTAAGCCGTGACTCGAGTCAACTACTCGATAAATCAATTTCCATTGAACCGGAACTTGAACCGGCTAGAATTTCCGCAAGAGCAGCCATGGTTCTCACTTGCATTTGTAAAGCAGCAATATAATCCGTAGCTTCTTCTAGAAGATTCGGGAAAGATAGTTTCCGGCAACCGGGAACTAACCGGCCAAGAACCTTTACACGCTTCTCAAGAGGCGGTAATTTCTGTTGTCGTTCTTTCTCCCCTAACAACCGGCTACTCCCGGTAACCGGTGGCAGAGGCAACTTTGAACGAACTTTAGCCTTTTTATGGCTCTTAAGCCGAAGCTTACGCCGATTTGTCAAAATGGCTCGGCTCCAACGAGTACGACCTTTGGCGGCTATGGCTAAGGCTTTATCGGCGGCTTCACGGACGGCTCGGCTTCCGGAAACCGGCGCCGGAGTAGGATTACGGCGGCGAACGTGTCGGAGAGCTTCGACGAGTTTTGATGAGTAAGTTCGTTGTTCTGCTTCTGATCTCCATCGTATTTGATTTTGATTGTTGTTGTTTTGGTTTGATTGATTTTGATTGACGGTGTCTATTCTTCGACGCTTTTTCCTCTTTGATTCTCGTGATGTATCTTCTGTGTGTTGTTCGTAATTCGAAATTATCGACGCCATTAACAACAATCTGGAAATTCAGTCAATTATTGTTGATTTTCGTAACCTGATTTATCAACGTATTCAGGAACTGATTACAGGAGAAAATTGTGGATGAAATGAAATTTCAATTCCTGCGAAAAATTAAAAGTTTGAAGAGATTAGATTCAGTTCAAGACCGAATAATCTTATCTTCGTAAATTTGCAGAAAATATGTAAATACCTAGTTGAAAAATTGATCAGGAATATTGCATAGAAATTGATGATTATCAGAGCAAAATGTGAGGAAAAAGATTACAAATCTGAGAATAGGATGAAAACGAGGAGAGTGAAGAAGATAATAGCTTATTAGAGAAAGTGAGGTGAGAGAGTGAAGAAGGAGAAGAAGAAGAGAGTATAAAAGAGAAAGGAAGGAAGTAATGAGGAAATGGAGTAAAAGAAAGGAGGGGAGTTTTAAATAGTCCGTAGAGGAGGAGAGAGACACCCACGCGGCGTTTGTAAGTTCACATTTAATGTCTCCTTTGTTTTGTTTCCCCCGTTTTTGTGCGCCGAGGTTACCATTTTTTATGATTATTTTTTTCATTTTTGGATCGATAAGGATTAAGAATTTAAGGTCTCTACTTGTATTTTTTTTTTTTTAGCGAATGAGTTATAATCACAATACAAATTTAAAGAAGATGTGGGAAGATTGACAACTGTAGTTGTATTCAAGGTAAAATCTAAATTGCATAGATATTATTATTTTTATGATGTTATTTTTGTTTGCTACATGTCCAGTTAAATAATTCATTTTCGCTAAGCTGATGTTATCCTAAGTTGGTATGCACTCTCTTCTTGATAAATTGGGTAAGCAATAAAGCAAAGAGATTATAAGAATCATGCTAACTTAATTGAAAACGGAGTTATCGATTGGGTAAACAATAAACCAAAATGCCCATAGTGGTTAAATTAATTGAAATTGATTCCATAACATTGTTCATAAAGGTCAATTGCGTACAATTATTTGCCCGTTTTGTAGCATTAAGGTAATTGTATGATTTGTATCTCTTTCTCGATTTTGGTTATTTAATTAGGTAAATATTAATTATACTATTATTCAATTATGTTTAGCCAAAATTGAGTTGTATACTTGTATCTTGTGGTGGAGGACAATAATACATGATAGATTTTTTAGAATGTGATTTTCTTCTATACATCTCATTCAAGTAAAACGAAGTTAATTTGTGCTGTGTATTTTATTCCAACAATATAATTGCTCCATAAAATTAAACACAAAAACTTATGATCTAGCTTAGACCGAATTATCTTAGGGATATTGCACATCTTATTCCTTGATAAATAGGACTAGGCGTTTATGCGACGCAATACTAATTGTCAGATTCGAAATCTCGATCATTAGCAGTCATGTACGAAAAAATGACAATTAGCTAGAACCATAAACGCACTAATTACATTCAAATCGATTGGTTGATTGTCACATGATGATGTATAAAATGTTGAGAAGAAGACACTTATAGATAGACATAATGTCTAAAACAAATCAAGTCTTAACCTTCCACTAACTTTAAATTAGCCAATGAATATGGAGCCTACCAATCATCTATTAAGTCATTCATGATGAAATGCTTAATCCAATCACATTTGGACTTTACTTAAAAAGATAGAAAAAAACGAATGGAAGTGCAATTAGGTCAACCTAAGCCATCTCTTGGTGTATAAGGTTATTATCTAATCTTATTATATAATTAGGATTATGCATAATTTTATCGTTTTATGAGTTTTTTATGACCATTATGACGACTATGTGTGGTAACCTAGAACACATATATCTTAGTCTTGACATCATATCAACCAGTAGTTGATTCTACAGTAGTTTAATTTGTTTGATCTTTTCAGCATCCTTAAATTAGGAATATTGTGCCATATTTTATACTCCAGTCAAACTTAGCTCATCTTCTCAACCTTATAATTTTCAGTGCTTATTGAATTTGTATACGAATTAATACATTTATCTAAAAATAAAAAATAAAAAATCTAAATATTAATCTGTAATAGAAACTTCAAACTTGAGTATAAAAATGAAGAATTATTAAACACAAATTTGACATTAATCTATTTTTAGTGCAACTCCCCCCAAAATTGGTAGTCCAGCTTTGACTTTTTTTTTTTTTTTTGCTGCTTATTTTAAATAGGAATTATAACAAACAAAAATGAATCGGATTAAAAATTAATCAAAAGGTCAAATTTTAATTTAAATTTCAACTTCAAAGAATCAAAGTTGTAACTCCTACACATGCATGCGCATAAATAATTCTCTAGCAAGTGAGGGACCATATATACTACGCGTTGATGCCGAACTTAATCCCAATTTCTCATCACAATCTCTGAAATTTTACAAGGAAAATACATAAATTGGGAAATTATGAGCCAATAAAAAAAAATAAAAAAATAATATACTTCGTATTTAACATTAATTCCGTTATTCCACTTTATTTCACTACAATATATATATTTCTATCAATCCTCTTCCATGCATGCGTTTAGAGGGGGACCTTCCACCGAGGCTATTTGGGGTCCGGCCTCCGGTAAATTATTGTAGTTAATTAGTTAATGAACTTAAATAACCTTATTTTACTTATAAAATATTAGAACATAGAGATTAGTTTTGAGCAAAAGGTAAAAGATTTAAATTCCGACCCCTCTAATATTTTTTACTAAGATTCGCCACTATTTGCGTCTCTATTCTTACTTGGTTTGTGGCTATAATAATATGCTATGTAATGTAATACACTAATTATCATTTTCAAGTTGGAAATATTAATATTAGCATATTTGCAACGAAGGAACATGTTTATTTCCTTATCGTTTCGTGATACGTCATTTTGTTTGCTCTTGATTAGTAACTAAACACAAGAAGAAAAACACGGGAAAATTTTCAAATTAAAATTTGATTTAGATTGCACTTTATAGAATTATATACCATATTACCATGCAAAAATGTACAAATGTTAGTTGATAAAATATTAAAACATGATTTCTAACCCGCTAAAGTTTTTTTTTTTTTTTTTTTTTCAAATTTTTTTTTTTTTTTTTTTTTTTATGTAAAATCCTTCAATTTTTGTAGGAGTACCTTAACATTTAATCTTACAGGTAAATGATGAACATATACCAGTATGTAGCTACGGCAATGCATGATTTATATATGGAAGTGAAGCATTAAGCCTAGTTTTGAAGGATAATGGAAATTTTTAAGCTTTAAACACCGTTATTTGATGGAATCAAGATGGTTTGATTCATTGTTTAACAAAGTAATAACCAAGAAATCATATTTCCAAAAAAAAGTACAAGTATTTGATAATATACACAACTAATTTTATATGTATACGGACATTTATTATTATTATTATTAATATTATTATTATTATTATTATTATTATTATCTAATAAATTTGATTTTGAAAATTAAAAAAACGCCTTACATGGTATGTGTATCCGTGTATATATGTGTATCATGATTTTAGTATGATAAAGGGAAAAAGAAAAGGACAGTTATTAATTAAAATGGACAAATAAAGACATGTCTTTGGATACAAACAAGCAAGGGCAATAGATCAAAGTGTATATGTCTTCCACTAATTGAGTTAAGGAAGTAGCCAATGTAAGGTAGGGTTTAATCAATCTTTTGGTTTTATTCTCGGCAATCATTAGTGGGTTGATGCTGTTAACTACAGGGGTGGTTTTGAGCATGTGCAGGGTGGTCGATCGTACAGGGTCCCTAAGTGAAAATACTATAAAAGAGCCTCAATATTTGAGATTTACTTATACAAAGTAAAGAGAAAACTTGTTAATCAATAATCTATTCTTCAATTTTATCATAAAATTAATAATTTAGTAAAATATTTTTCCTTAAAAAAATGATTTTAGGGCCCAATATAACAAAATTGCACTGAACCATTTTCAGTGTTAGCATTTGTAACCCCGCCTCTGGTTAACTATTAGCATCAATTTAAGCAAAAGTAATTAACAACCTAACATACTCTTTCAATTCCTTCCTTCCTTCCCGTTTCACATGTGGTGGTTTTGTATACCACTTTCTCCATACGAATTGTTCGATCTCATAATAAACACTTCCTCTTTAACTGATTAATAGTCGTGTTGAAAGTACAACTTGAATGAATTCAGACAAAATTTTGTAATTGTTATCCGCGGAAGTAATGAATATCCGTTTTATGAATCTTTATATAACTACTCCGTATTAGTGATGGGGTATTCGGGTGTGGTCGTGTGGATAGAGATGATCCACATCTCATTCTATTCTTTTTCACATTCTGCCCATTCATTTTCTGTAAGAAAAAAATAAAAACACCTTTAATTTTGGACCTGTTTTGACATATTTGGTGCACCACTCAATAAACAATTTAAACATATGCATTGTAACATTATTATTACTCTATGAAAACAATGTCTTGAAAAAAAGGAAAAAAAGAAATAGAAAAGAAAATGAAATGCATCTGAACCTGGGAAGAAAAAAGGCATTCAAAAAACATGCAAGCACATGCATTGCAGGAAGGCCCAGTAGCCTAGCACTATACATTGTGGTTGGTGGTGGTAAACAAAATTTGATAAAATAAAATTCCAAATTAAATAAAATAGAGAAATAAAAAAAACAAAAAAAAAAAAAAAAAAGGAAAAAGAAAAAGAAAGAAAGGAATGAAAGGGGGAAGAAAAAGCAGCAGGCTTTGATTATAGGCACCCCACAAATTTCTCTTCTAAAAGTTTTATGGATCAGCTACAGTTCAGCAGTTTAACCACTTATTTTTCCAATATTCAGTTGGTTCATGTGATTTCAGTTTGTTAGTAGTAGTAGTATTTAGTGCTTTTTTTTTTTTTTTTTTTTTTTTTTTTTAACACAAATACACAATATGTAATTGCGTGGTTTCGTTCTGAACAAATTAAATAAGGTCATGTTTAATTTTGATGTTATAATAGTCAAAATTTGTATGAGTACTAAGATTTAACTATTGTTCGTTATTGAAAGAAAGACGAAGTAAAACATGTGTAAAAATTTAATTACCGAAATGTTCATACTAGCTAGTAATATAAATTAAAGAATTAATATTGTCATCTTTTGTCAAGTTAGGAATAACAGTTATTGTAGATGACGTATGACGATCAATTCATGTCTAACTTCCCAATTCTTTGATAAAAGAAAATTTGATAATATATCTTTAAATGTTAATATATTTGTCCACATGGTCATCATTGAAACAAATGTCTCCTGTGAGTAATTTTGTAATTATTGAAGTGCACAAGAACCAGCTAGACAATGATAATGGGAAATATGCTCGACAATCTATGTCTTTTTCATTATTTTTGTAATCACCTTTTCTTTTAAAAAGAATTTATCTGTAATCACTTTCAGAATTTTGCAAAAAAGAACCCTTAGGTTATTTGCACCTAAAGTGAATAACTGAATATTATATAAATACTTCGTAAGTTCGTATTTAATACTCCATTGTATCAGGCTGTTTATTTGCAACTTACGTGGTCATGAGGTATTTTTATGTTATGCGCACCATTTTTGTAAAACACAAAGTGTAAATATCTAAATGTGCGCGATGTAATAAAATGCATGTTTCGATAGAAGCACCGTTTATGATTCAGTTGTCTTTCTTTTTCTTCTTGTTTAATAAGGCCATGGTTTATGTATACAAAGTTTAGACCGAGCCTCTAATTTATTGCAAAGCAAGACTAGAAAATACAAATATGAAATATGGTCTAAAAATTGAATAATACGAAGAATATACAAAGGGGCATTTTTGCATAATAAGACGGGAGTTTAGAAATGATAATCCGCATATGCAAATAGCCAATCCCAAAAATAAAAACCACATGC